CTTGCAGTTTGCACAGCTACTTACTGGCTCCAAACATAATTTTTTTTCAATGTTAACTGGAGAGTTAATAGTAAAATAAATAGTTAAGTAGTAATTGCTTCTACTAGAAGTGAAGTCCAGCAGCATAGTGGTTAGCGCGCTCGCCTCGCAAGCGAGAGATCTGGGTTCAATTCCTGGGTGGGGCGAAACTTTAGGCAAATTTCCTTACTTCATACACCTCTGTTTCCCGAAATTTGGTTGTTAGTCGATTGGAGGATCACTTTCCAGGGGTAATAAACCCTCAAAAAAAAAAACCGTCACTCAATCCACAACTGTTTGTGGGACACTGCTGGGCGCAATTGACTGCTGCGTTTTGCCCACAAAATACAGTCAATCCACTTTATAATATATCCTGTTAAGTGCTTTGAAATGTCTCAATGACATGATAAGTTGCTATATCAAATGCAAGACTATTATTATACTCTTATCTGAATCTTATCACCCTTACATTGTGTACAGCACCTTTCACACCAGGAGGATATCTCAAGCGGAGACCCAACAGAGTAAGCAGATACTTAGCTGGATGGACTGCATGCAGTTATACCCCCTTGTCCTGCATTTTATTTGTAGGGTTACATTTTGTAAACCTTCCACGAACACTGTCAGTATTGCCTCAGAAACAGTGGGAGGAATCATTTTCAACAATTACCCAGGAATACAACACAATCACACCATTCCAATTACCTTCCTTTATTCAATATGAAAACAAAAGCTTTTAGAACCACTTCCAAATAAGTCAATCAATAGACATATCAAAAGTCTTCTTGCTCACTTTAGCCAATGGACATATCTGCATCATCTATAATATTCCATTTCCTGCTCTAATCCACCAGGGTTAAGTTGGTGCACTCTAAAAGCTATCTGCCATCCTCCTAATTGGCCCACTTAATAATAATAATAATAATCCTTGCATTTGATATAGCGCTTTTCACGTCGGGAGGACGTCCCAAAGCGCTTCACAGAACACACTGTAAAGTGAATTGACTGTATATTTGTGGGCGAACACGGCAGCCAATTGCACACAGCAATGTCCCACAAACAGTTGTAGATTGAAAATGACCAATTTATTATTGTTTTGGTTTTGGAGGGATTATTATTAGGCTCTGTGTGGAGTAAGGAAACTTGCCCAAGGTTTCGCCCTCTGCCTGAAATTGAACTCAGGTCTCTCACTTGCAAAGCGAGTGCTCTAACCACTGAGCTACAGGACTCCACTTGCTTGCCTACCCACCACTTAACCACGTGCAATTTGTCAATGGCAAATCATAGGACATTAAAGGAATCACTATCGTTTACATAGTTTATGATCAACTTGAAGAGCAGCGAACCAGAAAAGTCACCAAAATAACCAGTAAAACCCATTACATCCCTCACCATTTGATATTGCGCCTTATCGCATCGGTGAGACGTCTCAAAGTGCTTCACAGAATATACTGTAAAGTTAATTGGCTGTATGTTTTGTGGGCGAAACTCAGCAGCCAATTGTGCACAGCAGTGTCCTATAAACAGTCATGGAGTGATTGACCAAATTATGATTAATTATTCTATATATTTTTGAAGGGATTATTACTCCTGGAAATTAGTCCCCAATGAACTAACAACTGGGTTCCTACTTGACATGATAAGGCTCTGTATCAAATGCAAGAATTATCATTATGACTGCTAGGTAAACAGAGGTGTGTGGAGTAAGGAAGCGTGCCTAACGCTTTGCACTGCTGAGGAATCGAACCCAGGTCCTCTCATTTGCAAGGTGAATGCTCCAACCACTAAGCTACAGGACTCCACAGGAGTAATTCATTTCACATGAAAAAAAACTTCATAAATGCGTTGTAACTCTCACCAAATAATTGATTTAATTACTTCAAACAAGACCCATTGGTTTCAAATCTATGATAACGCTATGCTCTTTAGATCCCCTGATCTCTGCCTTTAACACTTTAAACTTTTCTCGAACAACTGACTACCTGGTTTGATATCCATATCTTGTTGTGTTCCTTACCAACAGGAAAACATTTACCTATATAAGTACATTTTATAGAAATTAATTCTCTTTTGCAAAGCACTTTGACACAAAACAGCATGTATTTGGTTACTGTTATTCTCCATTGTTCACGTACGACTCCCGTTATTCACCTAACTTAATATTATGGTAATTCCGTCAACTCCCGGCTATTTTTCTCCAGATGTTGGGACTTATCCCATCACTTCCAGCTGCTCAAAGGAATTGAATTCCCGGGAGTTTCTCCACAGCACACGCTTCACTGACCTCAATGGAACTCCGCTTCCAGAGCCAAAGTGACTTGATGCGTAAATTTTCCCCAGTTCTTCCTTTGTCAATAATAGTGTTTTTATCTAAACACATCTGCCATTACCTAATCTCTAATATTTCACACAAGCACCAGATAGGAAGAATTGACTCATTTTATGGCCTGCGCTCACAATATTCTAAAAGGTATTGGCACAACCTTAAAATGTGTTAAGCTCCCAATAGTCTTATCGTTTATTACATTCCTTAACTGCAGGGGAGTCCCATTTTACTCATTGGGTCCCATGTCTGAACAGTGAGTCATGAGAAAAAAAAGGTCGGCTTCCAGGTGTCAGTTTGCCATTACCATTACTTTTTGTCCGTTGCATGCATAATAATAATCCTTGCATTTGATACAGCGCCAATCGACTAACAACCAGGTTCCTACTTACTGCTAGGTAAACAGAGGTGTTTGTATGGAGTAAGGAAACTTGCCTGAGGTTTCACCCTGCCCAGGAATCAAACTCTTACGAGCGCAACCCAACTCCTTCCTTTGTGAAGAGATGTCAGCAATGCTTTCTGCGAATTGTGAACATGTAGTGTACAGAAAGCGCTGTGGTGGACAGAGGCCATAAGCACAAGAACTGAGTACAGGAAGCGGAGCAGTCAGCAGCAGAAGACATTGTACCGAGCACTGTTGGCCCGGCTCCACAGAAGACTTGCACTATAAGGTTCGGTGTTGTGGTACTTCTGATCTGAGGAGTGTGATCTGCCCTCACAAAGTGGAAGTGGAGATACTGGAATGCAGAGTTAACTTGAGCAGTTGGTCACTAGGCTCAAGCCATGCTTGCTCAACAGGAGAGGCCATCCCAGCACCTGACTTGCTCAGGTGGTGGTTAAGATATGGTCTAGATCCGCGTTATCCTTTGACAGTTTGGAGTCCCACAGGATAGGGGTTAGAGACCTCGCAAACGGACCTGGATCCAATTCCCGGGCAGGGCAAAATGTTGGGCAAGTTCCCTTACTCCACACGCCTCTGTTTACCTAGCAGAAAGTAGGAACCCATTGTTAGCCAATTGGCGATCGCTTTTCCGGGGGGTAAAAATCCCTCCAAAAAAAAATAATAACAATAAATATTTGGTCAACAAATCCACGACTGTTTATGGGACGTCTTGAAGACATGATAAGGTGCTCTATCAAATGCAAGGATTATTATTATAATAATTTGGGGCTTAGAAGTTTGGCAAGAGGGGGAGATAGCTTGTCTGTGGGGACGACCCTCATTCCCTAGTGGAACGTTTTGGTCTCATTCAGCTAATGAGGGTGAGCCTCGCTCATTTTAAAATATATATATATTTATTATATATGTATATATATGCCAGGCAGCATTCTGGGTTAGGGTTAGGGATTGAAAACCTCCAGGTATTGGCAGAGTGGAAGGCATTGTATGTGAGGCAAGTACTGCATTTTATTACAATCTACTGGGGTGGGCTGCTTGCCCTCTATAGGCTCGTAATTAGCACTGGCCTACAACATTACAAGTGGTTTTCTTAAACAGACCTCCCACATCCCAGCCATCTGCCAGTCTACTGGGTACATTTTCTATCACAGACGACTGCTGACTGTGGAATTCATGGCCAATCTCTCTTGTGCGCACTTGAATCGAGACTTCACTGTGCTGTGGGGTTCATGAGGAACCCCTCTGTAGTCCTGGCAGAGATTGGGGACTGATTAAACTGAGTGCAGTGACTCCATATGTTCGAGGTGCTGGGGAGAAATGGGACACAAGAGGAAGCAGACTTTCCTGGAAGGAGTTGGTTTGATCACAATCTGTCTTATATAAGAATTAAAACCACACCCTTCAATTATTCAATTCAGAAAAATAAGCAAGCAATTCTGAAAAGCCCATCAATGGGCTGCACAGAAAGCAATCTCAAGAACATTCATGTGATAGCCGTTGAAGGGTGTGTCAGCCTGGTGCAGTTGATAATGCTCTCGGAATCACATTGTCTAAGATGAGACTCCAATGCATTGCTTCGAGGGGTTTTGGATTGTCGGAGGTGCCATCCTTCGGATGAGATGTTAAACCGAGGGCCCATCTCTCTGTTGAGGTGAATGTTAATGATCCCGCGGCTCTATTCGAAAAAAGTAGTTTCGGCCTCTGTGTAGAGATGGAGATAGTAATTCTCCCACCTCTTTGCACAGGTCTAGACTCAGACCTGCTTTATTGATTTTAGATTTCAAATCAACCAGAATTTGGCAAATTCCTAAATACAGTCTGAATTTTGAAGTCGATTTTCTATCAGCTATTTTAAAAACTGTAAAAAAACCGGACTTTAAAGTTGACTCAATTGCCAAATTCCAGATGTTCTTAAATGCTGTATACAGTGACCCGGGTAGAATTTCTCCCTATTGCTTTTAACCTCCCTTTTGAGTGGTTTTATGATACCTTAAATCTGTGCCCTCTTATTACTAATTTGCCAACAGGTGAAAGAGAACCTGGAATAATTTGGTCACTCAAATCATGACTGTTTGTGGGACACTGCTGTGAGCAATTGGCTACCATGGTTCGCCCACAAATGTACAGTTAATTCACTTTACACTATATTTTGTGAAGCGCTTTGAGACGTCTTGAAGAGGCGATAAGGCGCTATATCAAATGCAAGGATTATTATTAATATCAGACAAAACGGTTATATTTTCGATTTGTTTTTTTTACCTTGGGAAACTGTTTCACGGGAATTAACACTTTCTGAGATAACTTCATGTTTTTGTTGCTGACCACATCGACAAACTTCTCTTCATCTATTTCCTCTCCTCCTTCCATTTTGGTTATCTCTGCAAGGCAAAATAAGAGAGAAAACGGTTAGAACCATTTGCCGGCCGGCACCGCCAGTTTAATAGATATTTTAAGCCACTTTTTCCTGTTTTCCTAATTCCATGCACTTGCGACAAATTTATTGTGAAGCACTTTGAGATGTTTCGATGCTATAAAAAGTATAGTATTTTAAAAAGCTTAGTAGTTCTCCCATTTAAACATACTTTTAAATATAGATGTACAATACACATTTGCGTACAGCAGCGTACCACAGTCGTGGATTGAGTGACCAGATTTTTTTTTTTTACGGTTTACCACCCACTGAAAACGATCCGCAAATCAACTAACAACCGGCTTCCTATTTACTGCTGGGTAAACAGAAGCGTGTGGAGAAAAGAAACTTGTCTAAGGTTTCGCCCCGCCAGGGAATCAAACCTGGATCCTCTCACTTGCGAGACGAGAGATCTAACCAATACGACACAGGCGCCACATTATGAAGCATGTGGTTATGGATAAGCGAAACCACCAAAGCCACATAGTTAATCTGCAAATCCTAGATCAGCCAAACCATGGAATATAAAGCGCAGTTTATTAAACTGAAGCATTCATGATCAGAATGCTGATGTAATTGTGCTCAAGGCTTGATTCAGGATTAATGAGTTCATGAAAGGAAGAGTAGGGGGGGAAAAATCGCCAAATTCCAACGCTCTAAAATGCTACATAAATGGAGTAATAATAATTATTATAAATGGAATAAATCTAGAACTAGCTAAAATTTCTCCCCAAATAACAGCTGCTTGGGTAATTCCTTCACCTCTGGCATTCAAAGCAAGTAGAGTACTGCTGTGATCCCAGTAACTGATCGTGGGATTGATTGCGTGTCAGGTGTACTGTATTGTATGCTGTATTGTGCATCAAGTATAAATCAACAACTTGTTTTTATAAGTATGTATTATTCTTATTTATAAGCATTTATTATTATTGCTTCATGCCAGGATAGCAATAATAATGATCCTTGCATTTGATATAGCACCTTATCACGTTGTTGAGTCTTCTCAAAGCGCTTCACAGAGTATACTGTAAAGTGGATTGAGTAACTGCTCAGTTGATCCTCAGTTGGGGGAAGATGCTATACAAGTGGTATAGCTTTTGACCATAGTCTCAGGATTAGAGGTATTTACACAGACATTAGAAGTAATGTTTTTAATCAAAAGTATAGTTAGGGTGTGGAATTCATCACCACCAGCAACTATTGAGGGGAAATCAATAGAATCATTCAGGGTGCTGGATGAACACCTGAGGATTTTTTTTTTTAAAAAGCATTAAACAATGGAAAAAAGCTGGAAAGTGGCATCAAATAATTTGAAAATATTGTAAGGGGTATCAGTGCTAGAGACACAAATGGCCTACACTCTGTGTAAATCAGTGATACGTAAGACAGAAAATACGGGAAAGGAAGCATCATTTGAAAGAGAAATACACTTGACTGTTTCCAGATTTGACTCCATGAGGCAGGAAATTCAGCACGTCACTTAATGACTGAAATGCAACATTGTGAGAGGACACAAACACCCAATTAGCCAAGGTTTTCAGCATGGATTCACGCTGGCAGCTGGTGAATAAGCCGGCTGCCAGTGACCCTCATTGTGCCCTTTTGTTGACATGGCAATACATTATTTTTCTCTCCTCATCTCCAATGGGGTTACAATGGTCCGTGGTCATTGCCCTGGCTCAGTCAATTACTGTTCCAGCACATGCCTTCACTTCCACAGTACCATGAAGTGCAGTCATTTAAAGAACGCAGAGGCACAGTAAAATCCAGAAGCAACTTAAGTTTATAGTGCCTTTTAATGTTTGAAACATCTCAACACTTTACAGTATTACTGTATATTATAGTGACAGTTAAGCAGCTGAACTGGCTCCAAGGCGACATGTTTGGCAACACAAACCATCCCATGCGGTGGTCTCGTTGATCCGAGGTCTGAGTACTCCAGGTCATTACTGATGACAGCACCGTCAGCCTCGCTCATCAGCACGACTTAGAAGGGCAGACTCGTCACTGGGGGGCCGGGAGTCATCCCACTCAGCTCCTGTTAACCCTGCAAGCCAAAGGCCTAACGGGTAGGGTGGTCCTAGCTGGACAAGTAGTGGGAAAGCTTGCCAGGTGGTGCTCTCGATGGCAAGCTATGTGTGGTTTTAGCTGGTTAGACTGCAGGAGTTACCCCAACGCACACTCTGGGGTCCCCAAGCCTTGGCTCTCGCCAACCTGCGCCTGATGCTTAGCGGAATTAGTTAAGCAGGATGCATCCCTCCCGGGAGAGAGTGCGCATTGCACTCCAACAATCTACCTCTGGGATTTCCACATGTGCGTGGGATGCATGGAATTCTCAGTTTGGTTTGAACACTGTTAAGCATAGTAATGGGCATGTGTTGGACACCAGGCTGAGCAAAAAAAATATATATAGTGACTATTTCTATAGGCAACTGCCCCAGCCATTTTGACCCAAGTTCCCACAAGCAGCCATGTGACTGACCACGTAAACAGGATTAGACTGACCGAAACTCCTTTCTCTTCTTCAACAAAAACATTAGATGTTTCATGCCTACCCGAACATGCAACATCCCAACCAAACATTATTATGCAGCACATCCTCACAGGACTGAGAAAAAATTTGGTCGCTTAATCCACGACTGTTTGTGGGGGACATTGCTGTGCGCAATTGGCTGCCACGTTTCGCCCACAATATACAGTCGGCTCACTTTACATTATATTCTGTGAAGCGCTTTGAGATGTCTCGAAGATGATATAAGTCGCTATATCAAATTGCAAGGATTATTATTATTATTATTAGACTGAAATACAGACTGAATCAGCAAATTTATAACCTCGGGACTAAGCCAGGCTGACATCTTAATGAACAATATATTTTCATATTCACCATTCAATAAATTCACATGAGATATCGTAACACCACGGAATGTCACATTATTATTTGTCAGGGAAGCAAAATTGAGAGTAATTGGGGTGCAAACGTTAATCCCAAGGAATTTCAAACCCCCATCATTTGCACCAGTAAACCTTAATAATTATAATTTATCAGTTTTGTGACATTTTCAGTAAATGATTTAATCCAATTGAAGATTATTGTTCAATTAACTTCCACCATCTCCTCCTCTTCAAAGCAGAAAGTTAATTTGCAGTCACAGGAGCCGGGGACTGAGTGGGAGAATTTATTAGCAAGCACATGACCCTTTTAATCAGAAGGGCATGGTAAATATTCTTTCATTAAAAAAAACATCCTTCCACATCTCTTTGAATAGCATTTCTAAAGAAAATTTAAAGAGTTCATCTTCTCTTCCAGTTGCATATCTAGTGACTTACTGTGTCAGACTAAAGAATAATCACAATCTAAGGCCAAAACTGTCATTGTATAGTGTCAGGAGAAGGCATACGACCACACCGCAGTAGGAAAACATGCAGTTTTGTTTCCCCCAGTATTCTCGGACTAAATAGTCCTTTCAGGATAGGAGAAATTACTTTTTAGTAAAATAGGTCATTTTTAAGGAGAATCTAATGTTTATAGAGCACTCGCCTCGCAAGCGAAAGGACCCGGGTTTGACGCACCTAGCACCGCGTAGGAACCCAGGTGTGAGTCGAATGGTGGATCACTTTCCGGGGGTAATAATCCCTCCAAAAATAAATAAAATAATTTGGTCATTCAATGCATGACTGTTTGTGGGATGCTATTGTGCGCAATTGGCTACCGTGTTTCAACCACAAAATACAGCCAATTCACTTTACAGTAACAAAAACAGAGAGCTGGGAAAACTCAGCAGGTCAGGCAGCATCTATGGAGAAACTCTTCGTCAGAACACTGACCCGAAACATTGACTCACTTTCCTTTCTCCATAGATGCTGCCTGACCTGCTGAGTTTTCCCAGCTCTTTGTTTCAGATTTCGAGCATCCACAGTATTTTGTGTTTTGTTCACTTTATAGTATATTCTGTGAAGCACTTTGAGACAGCTCAATAACTTGATAATAATAATCCTTATCACATCTTCCAGACGTCTCAAGGCACTTCACAGAATATACAGTGAAGTTTATAGACTGTATATTTGTGGGCGAACCGCGGCAGCCTATTGCGCAAAGCAGTGTCCCACAAACAGTCGTGGATTAAAGTGACCAATTTATTATTGTTTTTTTCTTAAGGGATTATTATCAGGCGTGTGGAGTAACGAAACTTGCCCAAGGTTTACCCTGCCGGGAATCAAACACAGTCTCTCGCTGCAAGGCGAGTGCTCTAACCACTGAGCTACAGGACTCCACACATTGATAAGAGGCTCTATCAAATGCAAAGATTATTATTATAGGACAGTTGAAACACTGCCAAGTAAAATTTTGCTCAACCTAGGCTTCCGACTCCTTTAGCATCCCAGGAAATACTGTAAAGTTGATTGACTGCATTTATGAGCAAAAGGTGACAGCCAATTATGCACAGCAGAGTCGTAGTTTGAGTGACTTTTTTTTAAAAAAATGAACTGTTACTCCCAAAAAACAATCCCCCAATTGACTAATAACCGACCGGGTTACCACTAGTAAACCGAGGCGTTCGAAGTAAGGAAACTTGCCTAAGAGTTCACCCCATCCTGGAATCAAATCCACGTCCACTCGCTTGCTGGGAGAGCATGCTACCCTGCAGGACTCCACAGCTTTGTCAAGCTAATAAAAAAGGCGCAAATTCATGTAAATGGAGTTTTATAAATACTTTGTAATAAACAAAATGCATCCTTAATGATTAAGGACCACAGAGATCATAGGGTCATCTTCAGAATTACAAGAAATACTTTTCCACTTGAAGATAGGCAGAAATCTAAGTTAGAAACCGTCGATTTTCATTTTCTCCACATTACGTTTGCACCAAAAGGATTGTGTCAGAATGCTGAACGCCACTGATGTAGACAATTATTAGATCTAATCTAATCAGAAGTCAAGTTATGTATTTTTAAACTTCCTACAGT